AGCCTGCTAAACTGTAGAGCACCGAATGTGATAACAGTGCATGATACTGGTGTAACACTGAGGGTGGTGGCGTTCTTTCCTATCCGGTTTTTTTTTTTTTTTTTTTTTTTTTGGCGGACGATTGAATATATATGTGCAATGTTAAAAATGAAAATGTAAGGACTTACTCGCCCTCCATGGCTCGGTGTTGCCCGCCGCTTGCAGCAGCCCACCCCAGGGTCTCCTCTCTCTCTCTCTCTCTCCCTCTCTCTCTCTTTTTATCCTCCTTTCAGGAAACACTCAGGCTCGCTCACATTCTCTCTCCATCTGCTCTCATTTTCCTAATCTTTCTCTCTCTTGCTCTCGCTCTCTCTCTCCACCTTGATGTCGTTTCGGTGTATCAGGATAGGCTTGAGGTTGCAGCAGCCATTTTCCGCTGGCAGCATCCTCCCTCTCTCTCTTTCTCTCTCTCCCTCCCTCATTCTCTCTCTCTCTCTCTCTCGCTCCAAATCACTCCCTCTCTTATTCCTTTTCTCACTCTACCTGCCCTGTGCCAGCACATCCACACTAATCATTGACAGCATCGCGGCTTTAGCTAGCCTATAGGGTTTTTCACCATGTGATTTTAAATGGCTGATAATGATACCGAGTTGCTGATACATGCAGTGACGTGGGTGGTGAATGAAAAGCTCGGTAAAACCATCAATGACCTCTGGTTGATCCGTGATAACTGTGGAGAAAACTAAATTCTATGAAATTCTATGAAATGCAGGTAAAATAAAATCCGACTGCATAGTTACTTTAAAGTATAAGCCCGGCACAGTAATATGCGTCTGTATTAATTACATTTTAACTGTTTATATATACAGTTTATATGCAACCAAAAGCAGGGCAAAAATACTGTTTAGTCCACTACAAGGTCCATAGTTTTGGCGAATCCACAAAGGTTTCAGCACCATGGACAGCAATTCACCTTAGCGTAATGAAATGGTACATCCCCAATGTGAAGGCATTTGGGGTTAAACGCTGTGTTTCAATACACTCTGGTGACTTTTTACTTTATGACCATTTTTGTTACTTTTTAAACAACGAATATACTGTATACTACCTCACTGTGGCTATTCATATAGGCCGTATATTTACCGCTAGTGTTTTCTAAGAGAAATAAATGCAGGTAAAATAAAATTAGAATGCATATTTACTATTTTAGTATAAGCCAGTGTATATATATACACATATATACATATATATATATGTCACTGTTTACAGGGCAGAAAAAAGTTTGCTACTGGCACTTAACACTGTGTATCAATGGCACTGTGACAACCTTTTATTTTGTGGTAATTTATTACTTTCTTCTGCCATAAATATACCAGCCTACTGTTTGAACTTGGAAAAAATATATAGCACTATGGATGTTTCTATAAGTTACATAATATGCATATTTTTTTAATGTACAATGTACCCCATGTGAATAGATGACACTCTGGCCACTAATCGTTTTAGTTTTCAACTCTAAGGCCATAAATACACCAAATGCACTTGTAAAAATTATGCTCCACTGTAGCTATTCACAAAGACTGCTTTCTCACGACGTTTGAGAAAAGTAGCCCAGCTACGTTTTGTCTCTTTCCGTTAAAATTCCTGCAATTCTTCACTATGTCCTTGGACTGCTTTGAGTTAAAGCAGAAATACCACAATGAGAACTGTAATGTAAAGCGGCAATGATAGGCATTGATGCCACGTGTTTTTAATGTCTCTTTAATGAAAATTATAGCGTGAGCCTATTCCATGTCCACTTATTATAAATGAACTTTCTACTGTCCGTTCAGTCCCTCTAATCCATTTAGCATTTTGATTTAAAAAAAAGAAAAAGAAAAAAAAAGTAAGTGTGAATTAACAACAACATACCAGACAAGTGTCAGATCCAGGTCTTGGTGCTGCTCAGTGGCTTCCTGCAATGCAGATTCTTGGAAATCAAGGGTGAAAAGAAAAAAATTCTTAAGTTGAGAAAGAGATTACTCTTTCATTCATCCCTGAAGCTCAGCTATGTTACATCAGCAAAATAACCTGATTTAAACACGCAGGTTCTCACAACTTTAACATGTACAATTATTTTAAATGCAAAAAACACAATCTCACGGCACTTTACAAGATAAAGGACTTACACTATTATAGCCCATAGAGTAACCAAACTAATCCCTTTAAGCCAACTCTCTTGGTGATAGTGGTCTGCCTCGCTATTATAGTTCTGTAGAAGATGTTGTTTTTAAATACCCAAGGTTAGTTTTCAGCACCACGGACAGTCCCTTAATAAACGGCTCAGACGCAATCACAAACTAATCTATGTTTTATGTGTCTTCATCACTTTTAAGTTAGTTTAGAAAAAATATTCCATGATAATAGGCTAACCCAAAACATATTTAATGTTAAACCTTGACATAATTTACTCATTTCAGTAACAATAACCTACTACTAACAACAACAACAATATGAGCTCGTTATTCGCCAAAAATGTGAGGTATTAACAGTGCAGAGACAGATATTTAAGATATTATAATTTTGGG